TATAAGTTGTCATCACTTTGGCACTTTATTAATCATGAAAGAAGCAACTTGAGCTCGAACTAATTCAAAGTATATCATTGCTAGTTGCGCAGTCTCTAGTTATCAGATCTACGGTCGAAAAGCTTTTTAGCAACTAGGAATGTTTTCTCGTCAGTATAAAACCTTTAACGATGTTTTCTTTCAATGAGAGAGCTTCAATGTGTGGTCCAAGAAACATTCTCTATTATAAGGAAGAATTGCTATATTTGATGAACCGAATTGAAATCTCTAAGGATTAATTAGTTAGAATTCCACGTTTCTTTAGTTTAGGAACTTTTATTCCAATGGTATTTTGCATATATAACATGTTTTTGTTTTCATTCCATTTCGATGCATACCATTATCGAAATCTTTTTTCAGCTCAATATAATTGGTTTTTCTACGTAATATTTTATCCGAGTTATGCAGACAGATTTTAATAGATTATTATTTGCTTAGCCAAACAAAAACAAAATTAGCTGACATAGTGTGCCAGATCATGTTGATGGACATAATTTTATTGAAAAAAGAGCTATCAGAAACTCATGTAAATTATCAGCAAGCAATAAAGTCAGTAGAAGAACCAGATGTAATAACTGATTGTGTAGGGCAGAATGCTCGTCTGCAAAAACAACAAAAATAAAACTAAATGACATAATCTATGTAAAAAATAAACCTGTTTCTATTGTCACCATCGAGTACAACGGCGTTAGTAAATTTCCATGAAGCTGAATTGAATAATTGTAGTAACAAATTAGTAGTCTTGCTGAAACTGACTCCAATGCTAGTCACAGTACCAATATCCATAGCTAAGGGAATGAGACGGGTTTCAACAGAACCACTTTTGAATACTGTTTGATCACTAAACAATGCATGAGGATTTAAAATCTAATCATCTCTAACGTATTTTGTGTACATACTTGTCGAATACAACTGTAACTGTATTCAAAGTGCCATGAAGTGTAATACTTACTTTTCCGCGTGTTTGTGAATAGTCTGAGCCTGAGTAGAGAGTGATTTGGTAATGATTAACTGGAAGAGTAGCAAGATCAATTTTAAGTTTTTACATGTAGTGCCGTATGAAAAGATATTAGAAAACTTACTGCAATAAGGAAAAGCGCTGGCATCTTGAGTTTTTAAGTACAAACTGCCATTACCATCACTTGGTGAAGCCCAATAACCCATTCGATTACAATGACGAGTACGTCCATCACAGTCTAATGAACATTTGCCAGCATTAAAGTCATCCATGCTAGTACATGGATAGCTTACATATGGACACTGGTTGAGAACTGAATCAGTGAAAAGGCGTACAGAAGCTACATGACTGCACAATGCTGTTGCTGAAAAGCCTAAATAACAGACAAACAATGAATATTTATTCACATTTATCTTATAGCCATACCGTCAATGTTCATTGTTCCGAGTTGAAGAATAAGATTTATTATTTTTCCTGGTGTTTTCGGACAACCAGGTTGATCCATACCACCATTAGGATAAAAATCAGCATGCCCCATTCTTTGAAGAGTACCTGGAATGATACAGTCAAAAAGGATTTTTGAACTAAATGATTATTGAACGATATTATCTAAATTACCGAGTCCGAGAAGAAGATTATGAGCACCATCAGTATGAATAACATCAATGAACAAAGCATCTGTAGGATCTAAACGAACTCTTGGATCTGTGTTTTCAAAAGAGGGACCAGCAGGATCCAATCCTACAACAATAGTAATACAATTTGAATGCGTATTTCTTTCGATGACTACTTACCAGTAATACGACCCAAGCCAGGAACTCGTGATCCAGCATAGCCTGCAGCTTGAGCACCAAGAGAATGACCAATAATATGAAAATCAGTTGGTTTAGATCCATGTTGTTTAATCAAATAATTGATGAAAAGAGCAACTTCGGCGCCAACCATTTGAGTATTTGCTGAAGCTTGGTCATATGGAAAACCATTACCTTGCGTCCAGTCTACCATAATCAGATTAACGTCATCCTAAATTCCATTACATGAGCAAAATATTAACACTAATAAAGACCACTATGTGTCTCAATGAACAAAAACATACGACAGTAAGGATGGCATTTTTCATATCTATATACCATTGTGAATCTGCACGCTCAATAAAACCATGAATTAAAAGTTTAGTTGGTTTACTAGAACTCCATGGACCAAGCGTTGTGAAGCGGCTGATTTCCGTACGATTTTTTCGTGTATCCCTGGTATATAGGAATAATTTAGTGCCAACGACGCTAGCCTATGAAAAACAATCAAAAAATAGAAAGACCGAAGAAATCGCGAATTCATGGTAACGCTCAACTGCAGCGGGCAAAACTGCAATTGGACGTTGCAGTGTTGCACCTAGTTTCAAACAAATATAATGTGCTAGTTATTCATTTTGAAACAACTTTACTACCAAATGGTGGTCTTATTGTAAAACATCCATATTCACCATAGCAAACATCGAATATTCGTGCACCAGGAACTATGTTTATAGATCATTAAATTTATTTCAGTTGAATCAAAGTATACTAACCTGATAGAACTTCATCAGCACCAGCTGACAGACCAAAGAAGCAAGCAAAAAACACAGTAATAGGAAAGAACATTATTATTAGATGCTATCTCACCTACTAGCTTTTATATTAAGTGGTCGATTGCTATTATATACAAAAAACTAAAATCACAATGAGATTCTAACATTGAAATGAAATGATAAGCTGAGAATTACCAACACCTGTTTGTAATCAATTAACGAGCAAGGGTGTGGTAAAATTATTTTGCTGTTTTCAATATGGTTAAGATAAAAATAGCAGGCAGTAATATTTTTGTTCTTTTCATAGTATTATATGTTTTTTCAAATCAAGTGTAATGAAAAATGCATATCAACTATATTGTATGTTATTTATTCAGTAGAAAATCTCTCTGAATTAAAGAATAGACAGCAAGAAAATTCTCGGTGATGTTAATACTTGATGATAGATGTTTTTCTCAATGCACAATACTATTAAAAGAGGACGTGTTGAAATCCGTTACTTTCATGGTGTTCTCTGCAAAACATTACCATTTTTTTGACCGATTTTTTTTTCTAACGAGGGAACATTCCTAGTTGCTAAAAAGCTTTTCGACCTAGAATCTGATAATTAGATAGAGCGCAACTAGCAATGATATACTTTGAATTAGTTCGAGCTCAAGTTGCTTCTTTCATGATTAATAAAGTGCCAAAGTGATGACAACTTATACAAATTTCAGTGTTACGTGAGCTGTGTTTCTGTTAGTCGATATATGACCTATATTTGATTGCAGTTTACCCTACTTTTGCTTGAAGCTATGATTTTAGTTA